GCCGGCTTGGCTTATTGTACCGACTTCACAGAAACGCAGATTCATTCATGGCCTTTCTTCTGACTCCTAGGCATGGATCCTTTGCAAGGACGGAAAAAATATGAGTTTTCATGTGTGTCCTAGGCATATATGCCTGATGGTTTATTGTGCCCTTCTTGCATAGCAGCGTGAGCCAAATTAGAGAGCCCCCAGATTTCCCGCCCGACTCCCATGAAAATTAAGATAGGTACCTGCCAACCGACAGAATACACCCACCGCAGAACTAAGACTCGAAAAAAAAGGAACAAGAAACTGATCGCTATCTGTCGTAAATATCATAAGCCTTCGCGGAAATTGCAGAAGTCCCAGCACCGAAAACAAACCAGAAAGCTGTGTTGTGTCCCACATCCAGCCTTCAATTCCGCCCTCTTTGACGACTCCCTCCCTTTCCTAGATATATATCGATAAGTACCGGTGATCTTCTTTAGCTCTTAGCACCGCTTCCTCCGAACTAAGAAAAGATTCAAGATAGACATACAATGCTGAACATAGATATATACTGTTACTTCTTCTAGATGATCCTGGAACGAACCTTATCTTATTTCACGTGACATCTTCATAGTGGGTCGTTGGAGTAGTCAGCCGGTCTAACCCAATGGAATCGGAACTTAAATTTCGTCGACTTTTTTTTTCTTGCTCCTGTTGGTGTTTTTCACATCCTCATCCTCACGCTCGTGAACTCTTCTTGACCATCTTTGAAAATTCTATTCTGTTCTTTTGAGTTTATCCCTTTCGTGTAATATAAGTTTTGTATTGTGATAATTCTTATTTTTTACACTCCATTCAGAATGTTCGTTCCCTTTTAATTTTCTCCTCTTCGCTTTATGCGAATACAGGGAAAGCTAATTTGAAATATTTCACGGAGCAGGATTTCTCTCAGACACGCAGCGTTCCGCGCAATAACCGCATCCCCTGCCGCGTTTGCTATTAAGCCCGGAACTTTGGCTGCCCTTGGCCCTTCGCTCCTGAGATTGAGCGGCCAGTCTACCAAAGTAGCTTTCCAGCAGCGATGGAATTGGAATTCTTCTTCAAATGGTAGCGAACCATACGACCGGAGGAGCTTCCAACAGACCGATCGTCGAAATGAGAGTCAAAAAGAGAGAGAGCCGCTGTCAATCAAACCAAACGAAACGATCTACGTTGGCAACCTCTTTTTCGAAGTTACCGCTGAGGATTTGAAACGTGATATGGCAAAATTCGGAAGTATCTACTCCGTTCGCATTGTTTATGACAGCCGTGGAATGAGCAGAGGGTACCTTTCCCCCTCTTTTTCGTTTAATCCCCTTCTTTTGACCTCCGCTGTACTCGCTTTTCTGTGCTCTTACATTGTACATGGTCAATCTAATGCTCCGTCCCCTAGGTTCGCATATGTCCAGTTCGACTCCGTTGAAGCTGCTGAGGCAGCAATTTCCGAGATGAATATGTCCATCTATGAAGGACGCAGAATTGTTGTTAACTATTCGACCCGCAATAGCGCGGCGCCGAGAACACGCTCTAGCGAACCGACCAAAACCCTTTTCATTGGAAACCTGTCCTTCGAAATGACTGATCGCGAATTGAATGATCTCTTCAGAGATATTCCTAATGTTGACGATGTTCGCGTCTCAGTCGACAAGAGAACCGGTAGACCCCGTGGATTCGCGCATGCTGACTTTTTGGACGTTGAGAGCGCCAAGGCTGCAATGGAAATTCTCAAGGAGAAAGCGCCTTATGGACGTCCCCTTCGACTTGACTACAGCCTCAACACCAAGGATATGTTGGCTAGCCAAAATAGAGGCTCGCGATTCTCAAGCTCTAACCCCGACGAGCCACTCCAGGCGGAGACCACCGAAACTGCAAACGTCACTTCTGAACCCGCACGGTAGAGTCAATGACGCGCAACTAAAATGAATGGAGCTTCTGGATAAATACACTACCACAAACTGGGAATGGGCCTGCATGGGTGTCTGCTGTAATGTTTTACGTACTACGGGCGTTCTATCTGTTGCATCGATTTTGATTATGTGGTTGTTGGGGAGCGGAAAGGAGCAGGATGGGTCCTCCCATTATTTCATATCCTCCTTTGCTTCCTTGCTCATCCTCCCTTCGTCTCCCTTATACCGTTTGTATTCTGCTTAGCTGCGTCTTCTCGCCGTCATTCCTGTTCACAGATTTCCGTTCCCCAACTCCCCTTCATCTATTTCTCCGCGGTATTCCTTTTCTCTAAAATTGTAAATTATACTTGCATGTACGGATGTTTATTCTGAATTTTGTGAAACCCACTAATTCTTTTCTGGTGCCTCAATTGTTGACTATTACACGAGGACTGCTATTTTGTGCGTTTTGTAGAATAACGTGACTTTAGGGATATTTTCCGAATCTCCTTTTTTTGAATAATAACAATAATTGGTCCTACATATTCTTGCTAACACGGAGGCAAGAAAAGCCTGGACAATTTTTGATAATTCCTCATGAAATAGCAGATAGCTGACTAATATCCCGCTATTAATACAAGTGCTGTAAATATGGTATTATTCCGATGTGATGGCATCTTGGTACTGTATTAAACCACTGGCAATAATATGCAGTTCCGCTGATACCGAGATGAGCTTGCCGGTAATTTTGTATCACGCGAAACACCCGAGGATATTGTTGATTGGGACTTTTGCCTTTTGCCTTTTGCCTTCCTTCCACTCAATATAACCTCAGCGATATATCCTGTTATTCTCTCAAAAACTCCCGTTCTTTATCTCTCATTTTGACTTTTTAAGCTATTTATATTTAACACAGCCTTCTCCGCGTTGTCCCCGCGTACTTCTATTCGACTTGGTGATAATTGTTAGCATTCATTTACACTGCCCTGATTCTACCCCACGCAATTATTCGCTGTGCAGCTACTTCTCCAACATGTACTTTCCTCGGCGGGCCTGAGTGCTCGACAGCAGGAAATCCCTTGACGCCATTTTACGAAGCATGTTCAGGATGATAAAGTCGTTGCAACGAGACAGACTTGTTGGCCGGGGTCTCAGGTGGCATGCAAGAAGGGATGCTATCCATGAGGGATGATGGTTCCCAGGACCAGGTAATACCTTTTTTTGATATTTTAAAAAGAAACAAACATAAAAATTAATCCGTAACTGATTTGGATTTTGTTACCCTGTGTACCATGGAAAGAT